ATTTAGTTTACTATAATTACAATAGATTCCGTGATTCAATATCTAGTTTGTTATAATTACAATAGATTCCGTGATTCAATATCTAGTTTGTTATAATTGGAACAGATTCCGTAATTCAATATCTAATTGACTATAATTGCAAGGGATTCCGTAATTCAATATCTAGTTTGCTATAATTACGAAAGATTTCATGATTCAATATCTAGTTTACTATAATTGCAATAGATTCCGTGATTCAATATCTAGTTTACTATAATTGCAAGAGATTCCGTGATTCAATATCTAGTTTACTATAATTACAATAGATTCCGTGATTCAATATCTAGTTTACTATAATTACGATAGATTCCGTGATTCAATATCTAGTTTATTATAATTACAATAGATTCCGTGATTCAATATGTAGTTTACTATAATTACAATAGATTCCGTGATTCAATATCTAGTTTACTATAATTGAAATATATTTCATGATTGAATATGTAGTTTGCTACATGATTCTACTTACAGTTCACTACGGTTCAGACAGTAATTTATTAAATATTTTGCTATGTAGTTTACAGATTGGTTATATATAGTTTGTTATGTGTTTCTGTACGTAGCTTGCCACATATATTTGCATGTAATTTAATACTGCCGCTGCTCGTAACTTGCTAAGTGATTCTGCTTGTGTTTACTACACAATTTTTTCATAATTTACTTGTCGCTATTAATTTTATTTTATTTCCTGATTCTAATTGTAGTCTTTACGTTAGCTTATATGTTTTCTACGTGAATTTTATATATTTTACTAGATTATGGTGCATACATTTTATATACTTGATTTTGGATATAAGGCTTACTACATGTTTGTATAAGCAGTTTAAAAATGATTATGTTTGTACGTGTTTTAGTCGATAAGCAGGAGATTGAGCCTTGTTATAGCGTATTTGTAATATTTTTTTTATGGTTTTACATATTTTTAAGGTAATGAGTAGGAATCCAGAGGGTGTGTCCCCCCGGCATCTTTGGGGGCTTAAGATATTCAAGATGTGTGCCAAAAGTGATAGATTAGCAGTTTTGAGGTCTGTATTATGTTCATGAAGTCTAAGAAGTCGAATTTGACATTAAAAATACAATATTATGTATTATTAAAAATGGTATTTTAACAACTAAAATGACTACAGAGAAAGTCTTGAGCCTGCATGTCCTACACTAACTGTATGTTAGCAGTTTGTGGTTGCAATTGCCTGAAAACAAGCCACAGAAGGCAAACATATATGTTTAATCAAAATAATAAGGTATGTACAATGTATATGCAATGATAAACTATAATCGTGCGTGCTATATAGAAAAAAAATATACATTTTCAAATATATTATTGCCCATAGCAACAGTTTTCCACATTACACTGCAGACCAATAAATATTTTAATGCTATCATATAATTCAAGGAAACCGACAATAGAATAAAAAATTTCATATCATAAGAAGCATCATAACAATTATGTAAACCATAAAACATTTTAAAAGAAACAAAATGATACTTGTCATATTGGTCAACAGATGTTGTAAACTGTAGAAACATAATCAACATTGCTACATACTAGTATCGGATGCGAAATTCTTCTTACATGTCTTCTTTAGCATACACCAGATATCATTTGGTTGTTGGTTGTGAAACCATAACACGAAGCTACAAGTGCTGTTGTTTCTTTCAAAATGACATCCATGTCACCTGCCAGGTTGCCTAGATTTGATAGAGTGTTTCCCATTGACCACTGTAGCTCTATTGGTACTCCACATGTAGGCTGTTGTGTTACATGTGGAGAGAGAGCCAAGAGTGATAAAACTATATGGATGTGTTTTCTTGCAGCTATCCACTCCACAAATGTTTACAATCGTTCATCGTTAGAGAGTATATGATATTATTTTTTACGTTGAAGTACATGAGAAGAAGAAAAAACGTCAGTACAATCAGATATGACTGTAGAAGATCAGTCCCTCACTGGCAACGCTCACAATGTGTTGCACCCTAACAACAGTGACCTCCTCATGATTGTTATCATGTCCTTCCTCTGTATCACAAGTCCATTACTGACTTCTGTTTGGCGGTGTATCAAATTGTTATGATGTTTCTTATGTTAGGGAAATCGTTTGTTATATTGACGTTTTCCTTGTATCATAGGATGGCATTTAGGTATTTGTTTGCCTAGAGTATAATAAGAAAACTGTTGCTATGAATGTTGACCGATTTCGTTCAGACACTGTAAAACATACTGACATAATTGTATGGCCTTAATTGTATAAAAACCATACAAGTTAAATGAAAGCGTACTTTTACTATTGGTGTTTTGTGGCAATGATATTAACATAACATAATGGCCTATAGTACCTCTGAGTAGACAGCTAACATGATATGTTTAGGACTTCTCGAACGCAATAGGGAAGATGCAGTGATCCCAGAGTTATCAACGTTTGTGCCAAATAACCGGGATGACTGAAAGCTGTGTAGAAACCTTGAAAGACGTTGCTTGAATATTTTCGTTGTCAGGGTGTAGAGAATAGGATTAAGAGCAGAATTGACAGGCAAAAGAAATACAGCTACCCAGGCATAAAGATTTTTATCTATTTGTATTCCTGTAATGAAAAACAAAGAAATACGTCAGAAAATATTTTTAAGAGCCTACATCTAATTTATCAACTAAAATATATATAAATATACAAGTATAATAAAAAAATTGAATTTTATAAAGTCAAGTGAGGATCGATATGTACGTAACATAGCTAACTATAATAATACAGAAAGTTTTAATTCTACAAAAAGTATTTAAACAAGAAAGTCAAAACTAAAAAAAATACTGAGTTACTTAAAATTACTTTTTTATCCCTAATTTGGAAAATCACTGTAATTATGTTCGTCTGAGACAAATAAGGGATAGAAAATTTGAAAATTTTAGTAACTCAATTTTTGTAGTTTTAACTTTCTTGTTTCAATACTTTTTTTATTATAAGTAAACTTGATAAATCGGATAAACCGAGTAAAATTTAATGAAAGTACAACGTTTCACCAGGTTAACCTGGCATCATCAGGTACATCAACTACTTGACCTGGTGAAACGTTGTACTTTCATT